TTCATATTCATTCATGGATCTTACATTCTGATGTGGAATACTACAAATAAGTTAATAAATAAGATAGCCTACTGACAGTAATTGATAGTACTTATGAAAATTAAATCAGGGGCTATGTATTAAAGAGTGAATATAGAAACCACTCCACACATAGAATAGTAACACTGAGAGGGACCCTGAAGTCCAATTTCCTCATCCTAAGAATGAGGGAACAGGTATGGAGAAGGGAAGGGATTTTGCTCAGCACTGTAAAACTGAGACCAACAAAAAGCCTGTTGATTCCCACTCTGTATGCTCCTGTCATTAATTACTATGCAATTCACAAAACATACACTGACTGCAGACAACATTCTGTGCCTCTCTGTGGTTCTGCTCTTCATCTCAGCACCATGGGAAACAACTGAACCAAATAGCCCCTTCAGTGTGGTCAGCAGCAGCCCCGGCTCCAGGGAACAAAGAGAAGCAAACTGTCAGCTGTGGACTCTTAATTGGGCTGGCAGCTGTACAGCGCCAATGTGCAACTGGAAGCCGACCCAGTGCACCATAGCAGTACTCTGCACACTCAGACATTGCTTTCCACTCCAGTTTCAAGTTTGAAGTCAGGATAAGAACAGAGCACTAACCTAGGGTAAAGGGCCCTGGGTCTGGAGAACTCATCTTTATTCGCAGGAGTGTGTTGACAGAGGCTTACAGCAATGTATCTTAAAGCCACTCCACTGAGGCAGCGTCAGCTGCTTGGGGCTTTCCTCGCGCTCACGCATGGTGGTCGCTGAATGGAACGGCATTATCCATCTGGCCACTACTCCCCTTTTTTCTTAAAATAGGATGCCTCCTTGGAATATTTGCATTTATCCCCATTATACTGTTGACTTGTCTAATTGTTATTATTGTCGTTACTTTCTTTAGACACTAACTTTTAGGCGAGAAGTCAATACTGTAAATTAGTCAATATTGGTCAATACTGTATATTAGAAAGGAGGGGGAAATTATCCACCTAACAGCAATGTTAAGCTGTTAGTAAGCCTTATAAATGTCTAATGGAGGCATAATTAATCATTCATTTAGTAGACTTATTATCATTTCTTAACATTTCCCTAGTTGTTAGATTTCTATTATATTAACTTTAGGAGTTTGAATGTTTAGTTGTTAAGTTTTTCTCATTAAAAAATTCTATTGTGGGCATAGCACTTGTGAGAGGGATGTAGATAGCAATACAGGCCCATATCAAGAAACAAGAAAAAACCCAGAGTTAAACTAATTTCCCACATCAAGAAACTAGAAAAGGGAAAAAAAAAAAGAACAGTAGAGGAAGTTAAATAATAAAAATAAAAGCAGAAATAAATGAAATAATAGCTTAAAGGACAGTCTAAAAGATCAATGAAACCAAAAGCTAATCCTTTGAAAAAATAAACAAAGTAGACAAACCTGTAGCTAGGCTTACAAAGAAAAAGAGGAGAAAAGCTCAAATGAACAGGCTCATACATGAGAAATTACAGATGCAGCAGAAATCCTTAGGATAATTAGACTTTACCAAGAATATTGGGGGGGGGGGGGAGCAGGGTAGGCTGCTGCAGGCCAGAGGTGCAGAGAGGTGAAAGGATTCACCAGAAACAGGCAGGCAGTGCAGAATAGACAGAACCACTGAAAATACACTTGGGGCGGGAGGGTAGCAGGTGAGACAGGAGAGGTCCACTATACCACATGGGTCAGCTCCCTGGCCAGAGATGGAACTCCTGCTGCAGTGGCTGTGGATAGCTTCATAGTGCTGAGACTTAACCCCCTGTGCCACCAAGGAGGCTCTACCAAGAACATTTATATGCAAATAAGTTCAACAACCTAGATAAGATAGACATATTTTTAGAATAATACAACCACCCAAGGCTGAATAAAGAAATAGAAAATTTGTGGGCCCTCCCTGGTGGCACAGCACTAAGAAGCTAAAGCCACTTCAGCATGAGTTGGATCCCCGCTGGCCCTGGAGGAGACCACATGGCGAGGCAGACCTCTCCTGACCACCCTCTGCTCCCCTCAGCAGTGTACTTAGTCAATCTACCTGTTCTGCTCCCCACTCTGTCTCTGGTGAATCCTCTCACCG